GGATATTCCGTTTGGCATCAGTTGTACCATTATTGGCAACTTTATTGCCTGCGCCGGCAAAACGGAAAAGTACCAAAAAGTCCTGCACACAAAAATGATGAAGTTGCTTGTTAAAACTTAACTGTCATGTAGAGGTAGGCAAAACTGCTCCTTTAAGGGATCAGATCAGAATCATTCGCTCACTAAAGTGAATCAGTTCTTTTTAACGATTCACCACTCATTTACAATGACCTTGATGAATGCACTCGAAACAGGCATGGATCAAGAGCGGTGTGCAAAGATGAGGAAAAAGCAGAAAGAATTGAACAAGAAGTGGGTTTGGTGGAATCAACTCAATCAAACCCCTCACTTCCTGGATTAATTCTTTTCAATTGTACTTTTGAGATTCCCTAAAAACATCTTCGTACACAGAACAACAATAAAATTCTGGAGTAAGAAAATGCTAAAAAATTTTAAAAATAATGAAAACTAAGCTCATGTTTGTTAAAGATTACATTGTTTTATTACTATAATTGATATTTTGTTGGTACTAGAAAGCACAGTGTAAAAATAAATTTTTAGATTGAAGGTAGATCCCAACGAATAGAAAATTATCTTCTGGCAATACCGACATTTTTCTTTTTTATTGAATTTGACAAAATAATACCAAATATTGCCGAAGGTTCTTCTGTGCAGTAGGAATGACTTTTGTTCTACAACCTTGAAAAAATACATTAGATGGAAAAATTTATGTTTATAAATATATATTAATTCTAAAGAAGATTAATGACAAATTGACAGCTCTTAACTTCAAGCCATTAGTAAAATAAGTAAGATAAAAATATGATTTATAATTTTATATGAATGTTATATAACAAGCATAAAGCATATATATAGCATATATGTTTATATGAATATTATATAACAAAGGAATATCTAATATGCATTGCTATACTATGATTCAGTATTCGAAGAATCAAACTAAAACTCAAAGCAAGAGTTCAAAGGAAGTGAAAAGGGCAAATAATCAGAACTCCACATAAGCCAGATTTGTGGCTAGAGAAGGAATGCTGGAGTGATGGAAAGAATGTATAATGAAGACTGTAAGAATCAGATCCATGGCTGGAGAAGGAACGATGAAAAGAGTGAATAATCAATACTCTATAGGACTCAGATCTGCAACTAGAAACAGAGCATTGGAATGATCACATCTGGGAGTCCAAAGAGGAAACTGAGCACCTATAATCTATGTACTTTAAACAGTACTTACTTTTTTTACTTTGCACTGCCAGATGGAAAGAAACATTCCATCCATCTGCAAACAGGAGCGTAGTCAGTTTTGCTGAGATGCGTCAGTTTATTTAATGTCTAGTTTTTTAAATACTAGATTGAATACAAGCAAACTAAAAGCACACATATATAACACACACACATACACACATTAAAAAAGGTAAAAAATGTTTTCGGTAAATAACAAAGGAAAGAATGTTAGTATTTACATAAGAGGAATCAAATTTTTGGCATGCTTCGCAACAACAGCTCTCCGTGAACTGCTAAAGAACTATCGCTCCATTTTTGCTGGATCAGAGATAAGTTGCTCAGCAAAGTGAATCAGTTCCGGAGCAGATCGTGTCCATCTCTACCATCATGTGCAAGTTTGCCAGAATTTGACATGTCCCTGAAAATTTGCCAGCTTCCATAAAGATGACTGTGGTGATAATGTCACTAACATATTCCTTATCCAGACCTAAAAAGCAATTTACTGGTGACTTACGGGTTGCATTGACTCTGCAGACTGAAGTCAAACTTGTATGAGATAAACAGAAAATCTTCAAAATCATGGAAAAGTGTTTATAGTAAATTATTAGTGATGTAAATGTCCGGATCAGTTTTACCAAAACAAACCCTCAAAAGAAATCATTTATTGAATTTTCTGTTACTGTCACAGGAAAGATTACCTAAAGGGGGGGAAAAACCTTTCTTTCTTCTAAGATGATGACGGATAGGAAAACCAAGAACAAGATTTCTTTGAAATATAGAAGCTCACAACTTATTAGAAAGATTGAAACTGTCTTAGTAATTAATGAGACATACATGTTCCAATGAGTAAGTCTAGAATGTGAATAACACACCTGGCAATAAATCCAAATTTACTGCATTAAACATTTTTGCAATCTCCTGTGTTTGCTTCGAATATTTTCTGAAACAGATACCAAAGATTAAATCAAACTAAGATTTTATTTTTTAAATTCTAATTTTTGAATCTTTTAGCTTCATAAATTAGAATATAAAAAGTCAGAGTTAACTCAAAAGAACAAGCATATTAAAATGTTTTTCTGGGGAAATAAAATTATCATGATTAGCAATATCACTGCCCTAGATTTTGCAAATTATTACAAGAAATTTTTGTTAACAATACAGTTAGTGCACTTGCTATGAAATCAAATTCTTCATAATAAATCAATCCTTACAAACTTTGTAAGAGTAATAAATATCAGGAAGGGATTATTAGGAATATAACATTTTTGGAACAAGGAAGCAGATACTAAATATTAAAATTTGACACATACTGTTTACACTATAATAATATGCTTCTAACTAGCAGTAAGTTTTCCTACATAATTGATTGCAGTAGAAAAATCATGGTCATAAGCATGTAACTAAGACTTGCAAGTTCGAAATAAAGTTCTTCAAGTAATGGAAGATATTGGATTATGGAATCAAATAATCTAAGTTTCTGAATTAACAGTCTTCAGAAAAAAAAGTTCAAACAGCAGTTTCCATCAGAAAGGTTAATTATCTTAGATAAAGAATACAAAGCAAAATAGTTAGGAATCTGTCAAGATCCAAGCTTCAGTGTATCACAGGGAAACTTATGGACTTGTTCATGGTTGTAAATACCCATATTTGTTATTAGATATATGCATTATCTAAGGTCCTGTCACTTAAAAATCTGTAATTTACTTTAAATTAAAATATTTTACAAATTACTCTGCGATTTTAGAATATCAGCTCTTAATATAAAACATGCAATAAAACTGAATACTGCTGAGAATATAATCTCGCAAAGCATAGTAGTATGTGATTAGTGTAATATCAAATGCTTCACTCTTTGCATTTCGGTTGGAAAGAAAAGGTCCTTGAGAATAAGAAAATTATTAGCTGAGCTTTGAGCTTTGAAAAGATGCTATGGTGAGGATAGAACTGATTGTAGCAGGAGAATTGCAGCTGAAGCAAAGCCAATGTGAAATTAGTAAGGAAGTTGGAGAAATCATTATTCTGCATATGTATTGCTTAATGCTTGCATTGTTTTAGAAAGACACTTAGAAATTTACTGGTTTTCTATTTACCTCAGAGCACAATTTTTAATTTGCTTTGTTTATTACTTTATAATTAAATATCCTCCTTTCCAGGTATACATGGATAGAAGGCAAACATACCTAATCCAAACATTATTCTTATTTTGCTTGTTTTGAAAGGACTAGAAAAAAAGGTAAAATCAGATAGCCGGAGTATCAAACTAAACAAACATGAAACTCAGCTTTTAATTTCTCAGATTTTTGATGAATAAATGGAATAATTTCCCTAACTAAACATAAAGAACTAATTCTCCAATTAAGTAACTAAAATCTATGTTTTTACTGCAAAACATAATGCAATAACTATATAAGAGAACAGCTATATTTTTTTAAAAAAGTGGGAAGAGCAGTGCTATAAAAAAACGGAGAAATAACCCATGTGTTGATAAAATTCCATAAGGCAAGACATGAGTAAGTATAGGATGGTCCACAAAAAGGTAGTTTGCTTTCAATATCAGTGCTATGCTCTTTGAAAGAGGGCACAGGCCCTTCCTTTTGTGTACTGATTGTTTATCTGTCCAGCGATTTGATGTTGCCAAATAAAGCAGTGTTCCAGCTTTGTTTTGCTACCTAAGTCATTGCTTCTGTGCACAGCATCAGTGAGATGTTATCCGTCTTCTCAGGTGGCCTACTTTTTGAATGAGTTATCTGCTACTCTGCATAAAATAAAAATTACAGTGTCTTTTCTTGTGTTTTCTTTATAAAAGAGGCACCTTTTTTTTTTTTTTTTTTTTTTTTTTTTTTTTTTTTTGTATATTATGTACCATTTTTTTATTTGATTTTTACTTTTTTTTATCTTCCCGATTTATTGGGAAAAGTTTCAGTTTTCTCCGAAGTTTCCCAGGAAAAGTTTACATTTCCTGACCCCTGGAACTGTTAACTGCAAATTTTATCAATAAAAAATTCCATAATTTTGAATCTGAATTTATACCAAGAAAATAAAGATTTTTCAAAGGTTGATGTAACAAATTAACCACTAAATGAGCCAATTAAAGCCAAATGAGTTCACTGATGGCCAAATAAGTTAATAAAACTAAACAAACATGAAATTTTTCTATCGCTTTCATCTAACAAAATTAAATGATTTTTAGACATTGAAATGTTTTTACAAATTCAAATTAATAGTGTTTTCAAATTTTAAGTGTGCTTAATTGCATTAATATTAGTGCTTTCAAGTTAACAAGGAAAGTAACACTATAGCTGCATGATAACGTGTGATCACATATGACAAAAGTAACAAACAGCATAGTATATTCCTCCATACTGGAAGATTCTCTCTCATACGGCTTAGTCATCAGAACTAGCTAGATTATCCCTTGTTTTATTTACTTCACCATCGAATGGTCACCAGGCAATTTAAAATATCAGAAGGGTTTTAAAAAGTGTTACTGATAGAAATTTTTCACCTAAGACATTTGCCAACTGTTTTATAGTAGAAGTAAATATGTAAGAAGTTGAATGTTATTTTCAAGACCAGAATGTATTTTGCTTTCAATAAAGCATAAATTTATGAAAAAATGGAAAATAATAGATCACACAAATAATGTGTGAATTTAGGTACTTAAGGGTTACTTAGGTACTTAGGGAACTTAGGTAAATAATAGGTCACACAAATAATGTGTGAAATTTAAATGTTAATAAATTTCATGAAAGAAAATTTACCTATGTACTCCAGCATGTGATGCCTCCAACCTTGTACTAAATATTGTTCCAACAGGAATATCTGGCACAGCACCAAATACATTTTCTCTTTTTGGCTTTTGAATAGTATATATTGGAGTTCTGATGCTATTCTGTGTTTCTTCCTCTGGCAGTTCCTCCACACGAGGTGGTACCTATATCCATTCAAGGGGGGAAAAGGGGGAAGAAAAGAACTGTAAAATTTCCATATTTTAAAATTAACAGTTGATTAGGTCAGAGTCTCTTTAGTAAGTTACATTTAATAAAGACAATGCTAAAGCAAAGCAGATTTAAATATGTTCCAAAATATTTCCTTGAACTTTTGAAAGAACTATGTTTTTTCACTTTTGATAAATAAAAAGATAATTTCATGAAATGGCTTTACATAAATTATTAATTTTTTTCCATTTCAAAAAAACATTAATGTAGTCTATCTAGTATATCATTAATATATATATATATATATTTCAATTTGACAGATATGCAGACTAGTTTTTTCATACTAAATATTTCCCTTTAAAATTAATTTAGTTACCTGTAACTTCATTTAGTACTTGTATATCATAGAAACCACCACAGAATGCAATCACCAAAAATTTGCAGCTTGAAAAGAACTGCTATGCAGAAAATGCATGGGAATAACAAAAATGAAGACTTTCTGATTACTTGCATCTTGAGTTTTAAGTCCTGTTGAGCTACCATGTTTTTGGCTACATGAAAGAGAATTAAAGAAAGATTCAAATTTTGTAGAAACTTTAGATCAGGAAGCATTGACAGCAAATTCGAAATCTAAGCAGAAATCAGCCCCTAACAAGAAAAACAATTGCAAGTGTAATTATTGCCACTAGGGAGGACACAAGGTCAGAATATGCAAGAAGTGGATAGCTGATGGATGACCACCAAAATCTAGTCTACATACAAAGCCAAACAAAGGAGGTAAGAATAATGTTGCTGCAAATATGACATTCCTAGCTGTAGATGAGGCAATATTTTCTGCTGAAACCAATTCTGATTATTGGTTTACTAACAATGGAGCCTCAAAACATGCTATCAATAACAGTCATTACTTTACAGAAAATTTTGAGCTATCCCATAGCATCACTGTAGCAAACAGAAAGTCATTACCAGCAATTGGAAAAGGCACATCAAGATAATGGCCACTGTAAATGTGATGAATCAAATCAAAAATCTTGAAAATGTCTGGTATGTTCCAGAAATAAGTAAAAATCCATTTTCCATGTTAGCAACTCAAAATAGAAACCAGAACAGTGTGCTTGAATCAACATTTAAGGACTGCTATTTAAAAATACATGACGAAATAGTTTTGTATGGTATAAAATATGCCAGTGGGGGGTCTCTTCAAAGCCATGAGAAAGACCTTAGTTCTTGAAACTCACATTAACAAATGTGTGACCGAGAATAATGAATCAACACTTCAACTTTATCATGAATGATGGAGTCACCAAGATAAAGGCATGTAAAGGCCATTCTTGAGAAAATGTTGAACATTAAGGTTAAGTCTGATATGAAATGTGAATCCTGTGTATATGGAGAAGCCCACCATTTAAAGTTTGGAAACAGAAAGGAGGTTACAAAAGCTGGAGAATTGTTCTCGACAGATATTTGTGGGGGTATTTGACAGTGGCGTAGCGAGGGGGGACAAGGGGGTGCATGATGCCCCGAGCGCCGCTCGTAGAGGGGCGCCAAATGGTCTCCAAACAAGATTTTCCGGAAAATTTCAGTTTTCATTTAGATCGATTTCTGGAAAATATATTTAAAATTAATAACTATTGTAATATAATTAATTATTTATTTTCTTGGTTTGTCTGATAAAATGTGTAATAAAATGTTTGCAGTACATCAACCAAAAGGTTCTCAACCAAAATAAAGTAATCAACCAAAATAAAGTGGTTTTGACCACTTTATTTCTCCAAAGTAGAGATATATTTTTATTTTTTTAACCGAAATGTGCGTATATCTCCCGCTTCTTATTTTAAAACGATAACACGACCTTGTCCCAAATTTCTCAAACATATCCAGTTTCCAAAATCCGATTCCATAATCTGGAAATAACATTTTGGGAAAATGCTAATGCTTCCGCTACAATGGGTTGCGTTCGACTCTCCTGTAAACGACTGATGGCCTTCCTGGCTACCCATTCAACTAAGTCATCTTGCTGAGACATCATATATTCACTGCTACGAAGCATTCATCGCATGTCAATTGTTTTTAATCTCTTATTACAAAAGGAATACTGCAGGTCGCTCCTTACTCCTTATCTAAAACGCATAGTTTTCGACGTCACAGACAAAATTTGCATATTCCCATCTTTATAAACGTTATAATTTCCTTTATAATCTCTTCTATTTCCTTTTGTTCAAAAAGGTTGTCGATTATATGGTTATTTCACACCGAACCCACAATATCCCTTAATTGTTTTGAGCAGTGAATGTGACTGCATGACGTTACTCCGCAGTAGAAAAGAAACGGAACCTAAAACTTCACTACAGATCTACAGAGAAAATGTTTTTCCAAACCTAAGAGTCGCACTTCAAATACTACTTACTATTTCATTATCAAATGCTAACTATGAACGCTCGTTCAGCAAATTAAAATAAATGTTCACATATTTACAATCAACGATGAGACAAGATCTCCTAAGTCATCTAGCATTTTTAGTGTGGAAAGAGAAAAATTTGAAAGGGTCGACTTTGATGAAGTAAATAATAAATTTGCTTCATCCAAGAAAAAAAAAATGTATACATAGTAATTAATTGTATTCATGTATTATATTATTATTAAATATAAGTGCCCGACCAAGTCGAGGTGCACGTGATTGAAGCGAGATGAGGGCAAATTAAAATTTTTAAGTTGGCTGGTGGTGTGTCTGAAAAATTTTAGATCTTTGGCACTCCAAGCACGAACGTGTCCAGTTGGCTATGTCCTTCTGCATGCTAGGCCATACGAAACGTTGCTGTATCAGTTTCCTCGAAGCCTTGATGCCAGGATGTGACAGACGATGTAATTGACTAAAAATGGCATGGCGAAATCCGGAGGGAACATAAGGTCGAAATCTTGAATCCTGAACATTACAATAAAGTGATTTTCCAGGTGACAGCTGCATAGGCTGCAAGTTGAGATTGGTGGAAGATTTGCTTTTCAAGAAGGTTTGTAGTTCTGAATCCCGGTGTTGTTCATCCGCAAGGGCAGCAAACTTTATTGGCGAAGGAACGGCTAGTTCATCAATACGAGACAAGGTGTCTGCAACAATATTCTGCGAACCCTCAATATAACGGATAGCTGTTGAAAACTGCTATCCATTATATTGAGGTGTCTGTATGTCTAGGTGTAAAGTCTAGGTGTCTCATTTGACGAGGAGAAGTTTTTTCCTGTTGAAAAGCATAGGTTAAGGGTCTGTGATCTGTGAAGATCATGAAAACGCGTCCCTCTAGCATATGTCGAAAATATTTGACAGCTTCATAAATTCCTAATAATTCACGATCGTAAGTGCTGCATCTGGTTTGTGCTGGTGAGAAGTTTTTAGAAAAAATATAAGTCTCCATAATTCTTGATCTTTCTATTGTAAAACTGCTCCTATACCTGTTGTTGATGCGTCAACGTGTAGAGACATTAGGTTATTTTTGGAAGCAGAAGAGATGAAAAATATGCAACACCTTCGCCGAGAATCGAACCGCAGACCTCTGGAGTACCGGCCCAGCGTTCAGAACCACTACACCACAAAGACAGGCTACGAAAGCGGGAGAAAAATCTTATACACTCCCCTTTTTAAAGGGCGACTGGGGTTTTTAGGGGACCCAATCGCCAAATCCTGGGTGTGGAGAATTCTCATACAACACCCCTTTTAGTTCAGGCGCCATTATAGAGACATTAGGATTTTTGGAAGCAAGAGAGATTGAAAAATTAGCAACCGCCTTCGCCGGGAATCGAACCGCATACCTAGCAAAATAAGGTACACGAAAGTCGAGGCCGATAAACACCTGATTCATGAAGCATTGTAACGTTTGAGCAGCATTGCATAAACCGAAAGTCATGACCAGAAACTCAAATAGTCCAAAAGGCGTAATAACCCCAGTTTCAGCTGGGTTAACAGCTGGGAATATCAGCTGGATTAACGGGCACTTGGTGATACGTCCCGCTCAAGATCAAGGGTTGTAAAAATAGCTTTTCCCTCTAAAACTTGCATACAGTCTTGAATATGCGGGACTGGGTAACGATCAGAAATTGTAGCTGCATTTAACCGGCAATAATCGCCACTTACCATTTCTTTTCCGAACTAGATGGAGCGGACTGGCCCATGAACGTTTTGAAGGACGGCAAATTCCCTCTTCCATCATGTATTGAAATTCCTCTTTGGCGGCTTTAAGCTTGTCTGGAGGTAAGCGTCTTGGTTTAGCGGCAATTGGAGGTCCATTAATTTCAATATAATGTAGTACATCGTGCTTGGGTTCGGAAATACCCATAACTGAGCGCGTGATTGTAGGAAATTCTCTGATAAGTTGATGTTCTCTGAGAAGTTACCCGAAATCAGTTTAATGCTCAAATCTTGACTATTACGAATTACTCCCAGATAAGTTAAGTTGGTTGCGGAATCTATCAAACGGCGATTCTTAAGATCGACAAGCAAAGAAAATTTTTGTAAAAAGTCAGTGCCAATAATAGGACAGTAGCAATAATGAATGGCCATTGGAAGTTGCAGGGCAATCCTAAATCAACAGATATTAGGCGTTCATCAAAAGTTTGAATAGGAGTTCCATTTGCTACATAAAGTTCTAACTTGGTAAGGCGCTTACGTTCATGAAAATGTGGTGGAAGGACAGAAACATCAGCCACGGTGTCTACAAGAAACCTTAAGCCCGAATTCTTTTTGATGACGAAAAGGCATGCAAAATTCCAGCCGTTGTGATTCACGACTTCGAGCAACGGCCCTTCTCGTTTCCCTGGTCATTATAACGACACACGGTGGGTGGCATTTGTTTGCCTTGTTTCCAAATATGTGGTGATAAAAAACAAATACCTGGAGGAGGGCTTTCATAACTTTTTCTCAGTGGGCTACGATGTGTATTTCGACCACGTGATTTGTAGCAGTTGCGCTGTAAAGGTTCAGCTTGGATGGCTACTAACTGAGCACCTGTTT